GGGGTCACAAGTGCTGTAGGGCTCGATCGTGCTTTGAATGTTGATTGCGGGCCCCCCCCAGAGCCTCCCAGACAGAAAGGGCTCAGTTTGACGGTGGAGAGTTGCAATGCCACATATTGGAACTCATTCAACGAATGGCTCAGCGGAACCACTGGCTTGCTTGCAAGAACACCACTTCGTGTGGGGCATCAGCCTCAAGGAGGCTTCGTCGCGGATGGAAGGCGCTGCTGATTCCCGCTGCTGCTAGCCAAGTCGGCTCTTCTGGAGGAGTTGGCATCCTCGCGAGGTGTTACGCTGGGCTGCACGAGCCCCTGTGGGGCTCTTCGTTGGTGGCGGGGAGGCGAATGAGAATGCGTGGTTTACCTTCGTGATGAAGGCGAATCTCCTAGGGAATACGTCTGTCTTGGCCCTGTCGGTCTACCTTCGTGATGGGAAAAGGCAGTCTGACAGGAACCTCGACATTCTAGGTTCCGCGGTGTCTACTGTCGAGATAGATGTCGGGGCATCAGGCTCTTCTGGGAAGGGGATTTGCGCAGGACATGTTTCGCAAGCAGAGCCTCACGTCTCAGGCACGTGCTCACCATGTCTCGCCCCGAACCCCACTGCTGCCCGACCAGAGCCACTTCCTTTCATCTCAAGCCAGAGGAATAGAGCTCGCACGATTGCGGCGCGCGTGGCCGCGAGGACACAGCTTACCGAACACCTTTTACTCCTAAGCAGTCACGCTCCCGGCCGACCGAAGATGGCATGGAGAGCAGGGCACCGCAAAAAGGAGGGACACCATGCAGTGCGACGCTGTAGGCGGCATCGGAAGGCCAAGCTCCACAACGAAAGCATCACCGTGGAGGCCAGAAGAAAACGAGTGGCAACGCGCGTGGCCCCGCAGAGGGATCAACGAACGAAGAGACCATACTCATGCAGAAGCTCGCGCTGAACTCGGCGCAGATGATGCGCGCGGCGTCAGGCAGCCCGCGGGGGTTCTCCCGGGCAGACAACGAGCTCCCGCCAGCGGAGGCCGCGGCGGCAGGAGGAGAAACATACGCGGAGGAGGTCAAGACGAAAGGCAGCAAGGCGATGGGCTCACCTCACCTGCACACAGGAGTGGAGTTCGGCCTGTCGCTGGCTGAGCAGGAGGACCTAGGGGGCGAGAACAAGAAGATCCAGACGGAGTTCAGCCGGCTCATCGAGATCATGCCGATGAGCGTTTTCGCAGGCATACCTGTTCACTCCCGCGCCAAGACAGCGTGCAGCGAGCCTGACGAGCCGAACAAGTGGAAGATACACGCATCACGTTCAATCCGGCGGGGGCCACGCCTTGGACCACGAAGTGGGAGGACGAGTTATAGATGCCATGCGATCAGGGCAACGCGGAGGAACCGGTCAATATCGGCAACTGCACGGTGCAGGAGCTGAGGATGGCAACGCGCCGCGCGCCCAAGCAGCTCAGGGCGGAGCAGAGGTACGGAGCACCGCCGCCCTCGGCGCTGGAGAGGCAGCTGCAGGCAGCGCTGAGAGCGAGGCAAGCAATGTGGGTATCAGCATATCTGGACTGCGGGAGATGGCTAGGCGTGGGCGTGAGCGAGCCCGTGAGCTGATAGCGAGAATGGGACTGCAGAGGTGAGCAATGTGTGTTGTATAGACGCACAGAGACTAGACGTTTGTTTTATGAGCCTTCCATAGAGGCCAAGAGGTCAGGCGGAACCGACAGCAAAGGGCGATTTCACGTAGCCCCAGATCGACACTGACCGCCTGGCATGGGGTCTTGCCATGGAGAGAGGCTTGCGCCAGGGGAATCCCCCACCGCCCTCTTTGCATCTTATGCTGAATCTTTCAGGGGACTGTTGCGCGTGGCGAGGTAGTGGCGAGAGCCCATCTGCGCGAGAACTGTTGTGCACGAGCCGTGGATTGGGAGTGCGGGGGGGGGATGTGAGGTCGGAGCGGGGGGGGGGGGGGGTGGAGCGCACGCTAGCTGCAGACATCGAGGACGTTCCAACAAAAGGACAGCCAATCAATGGCGATATTTGTTATTGTGTTGTTTGTTCGTTTCGTTGAATGTTGTACGTTTCCTACCCCGAGCGGAGGTGATGGGTCACAGTGTCATAAGCCCCCACCGTTCCATAACGATGTTGTTTGGCAAGGGGCTCGGCACCGAACTGCAACGGGGCCCATAGGGCTTAACCAAGCCAGGGGACCCGTAGGCTGCTATGCTGATAATGCCGCCAGCGGCTACCGAGCTCGCAAGACATGCGAGACGAGCCCCCGCGATCTCGAGCAAGGGACCCACCAGTTGCCCAGGCTTCCGACTTCGACTCCGACTCTTCCTGCTTCTCCCTCCTCCTTCCTCCCTCCTCCTCCTCCTCCTCCTCCTCCTCCTCCTCCTCCTCCTCCTCCTCCTTCTCTTCGTCCTCCTCCTTTTTCCTCTCCTCCTCCTCCTCCTCCTCCTCTTCCTCCTCCTTCTCCTCTTCCTCCTCTTCCTTTTTGAGCCGAGCAGGCCTCAATATTCGGGTTGCAGCGCTCCTCCCTCCTCCTCCGCCTCCTCCTCCTCTCCTCCTCCTGCTCTCCGCCTCCTCCTCCTCCTCCTCCTCCTCCTCCTCCCCTCTCCTCCTCCTCCTCTTCCTCCTCTTCATTTTTGAGCCGGGCAGGCTTCAAGATTCGGGTTTGCAGCGCTCCTCCTCCTCCTCCTCTCCTCCTCCGCCTCCTCCTCCTCCTCCTCTCCTCCTCCTCCGCCCCTCCTCCTCCTCCTCTGCTCCTCCTCCTCCTCCCCCTCCTCCTCCTCCTCCTCCCCCTCATCCTCCTCCTCCTCCCCGGGAGGGAGAGCCGCGCGCAGAGCCCGCAGCGCTGCCCGCGTGTTGGGCGCGCCGGCGGCCGTTGGGGCCCCGGCAGGGGGCCCCCCGGGCACCTCGAGCAAGAGTCGTGGGAGCGAGAGGTCCCTCCAGGGGCCCTGGTGAGGGGAAGAGGAGGGAGGAGGAGGAGGAGGAGGAGGGGGAGAGGAGGAGGAGGAGGAGGAGGAGGAGAGGAGGAGGAGGAGGAGGAGGAGGCGGAGGAGGATGAGGAGGCGGATGGGAGGGAGGGGCGGAGGAGGAGGAGGGGAGGAGGAGGAGGAGGGGAGAGAGGAGGAGGAGGGAGGAGGAGGAGGAGAGGAGGAGGAGGAGGAGGAGGAGGAGGAGGAGGAGGAGGGCGGAGAGGAGGAGGAGGAGGCGGAGGAGGAGGAGGAGGATCGGGCCGGCGCTGCCCGCGTGCGGCGCTGGCGGCCGCGGGGCCCATCGGGGCCCCTGCACGTGGTCCCTGGCACCTCGAGCAAGAGTCGTGGGAACGAGAGGTCATTCCAGACATCGGGCGTCTCGAAAAAGTCGAGGCGGAGGTTTTTCATCATTTTCGGCCTCCCGGGGCCCTCGCCGGGCCTCGGGGCCGTCAAAAAACGACGCGGGATGAAAAACCGGTCTTGGGAAAGCGGTCGGGAGGTCGGGGGCCGCGTCTCGGAAAAATCGCGACGTCGGATGTCTGGGATGAGAATGGTGCGCTCCAAAATCCCAGGCATACAGTTTTTTTTTGGTCGGCGGGGCGAGAGCGAACCTCTTCCGCTAAAAGCTGGGCGGGCTACGCACAGCTTTAATTAGGGAGACAGGACACGGGCGGGCGGGGCCTCAGGCGGCCGGAGTGGGCGGTGCCGAAGAGGTCACGAGAATGTCGGGCCGGACGAAAAGGGGGGATTGGGAAAGGGGGGGTTACGAAGTCTGTTGCATGCAGCTGGTTTCGGCCTCGCCAGGGGGCCCATTCCTCGATACATGCCGCCTCCGGCGCCGGGAGGCGCCGGGAAAAGCAGCTACGTGAGCTGATTCTCACCCCCCCCCTTTGCTATCCCCCCCTTTCGCCCGGCCCGAGAATGGTGCGTTCCAAAATCCCAGACATACAGGGGGGGGGGGGCATGCCGAGAAGCGCCTTGCTTGCCTCCAGGGTGCCTTGTGTTTGGTGGGATCTCGATGGTTTTGCGATGGAGAAAGAAGCGCGACGCTCCCACACCAAAAGTCGATGGAGGCCCTGGGGTCTCAGGGTTGGATTTCCTGTGGAAGGTTTCTTGTGGTCGAGCCCCCCCCGCAGGGCGTCTCGGCAGAATCGAGACGTATGTCGTGCGTCGTCTTCGGGCTCTCCGGGCCCCCGCCGGGCCTCGGGGGCGTCAAAAAAAGGGGCTCGGGAGGAAGCACCGGTCCTTCGGGGGTGGACAGAACCCCCAACAGTGACACGTCGATTAGTGAATTGTCCGTTTTCGGTTCTCGAGGTGGCGCCGTGGCCGTTATTTTCCAGGCTTGCGCCCGCCAGGTTTGGGCCTCAGGTTGTTTTCACTAAACCACGTTTTACTAAAGGGGGGTCTGTCCATCCCCGAGTCCTGGGGAAGCGATCGGGAGGCCAGGGGCCGGTGTCTCCACAAAAATCGAGACGTCGGACGTCTGGGATGCTGAGTATTCAGGAGGGGAAAAACACACACAGACACAATGAATCGTCGATTCCCAGGAAAATATGCGGAAATATGGGAAGTGGGGTGGAAGACAGAAACCCAGAAAATATGGGAAAATATGGGGGATCCTTTTATTTGTGTGTATTTATTTGTGTGTCCTGGGGCCCCTTCAAAAGAGGCTGCAGAAACGAGGGCCGCTGTAGCTGCTCCGGGGATCCTGGAGCGCATCCTGCGCCAATCTTGTCATGGCACCATATGCCCGTCCTAAGGGGGCCTGCCCGTCGGCAAGCGCCGCCGGACATTCACGATCCCCCCGTTGCCTCTGGGACCCACTTCCTGGGACGCCTCGGGAGGTTTCCGGCTTGACGGCGCACGCACCCTTGCTATCTTGTAGCAAGGTTTCTTATCGTATGTGTTGGCCGTGATGCTCCTTCCTTTTTCTCGATCTCTTCCGCCTGCACCTGCTTCTCCTCGCGGTCCTGCTCACAGCATCGGCGCGTCGCCTGTGTGGGCAATCTCCCCCTCGGCGCGCGGTGCACCCGCGCAGGAGGAGAAAGGCCAACATCTTCAGGAATTCTACGATCAGCTTCTCTGTGAAGGCTCGCCGGGAGCAGGAAGGTAAGCATGTGGGAGAAAGGAGATGTGCCGAGGGCCGAGGGACTCATCAACCTTCCAAGGCGAGGCTTGACCTGCAGTTTCGATTTGCTTCTCCTCCATTATTGGTGCTCGTCTCTCCTCTTGGTTGGTTCGTGGATGAGATGGAGCCTCTGGCAGAGGACGAGGAGGAGGAGGTCCCTGGAGGTCTCCCAAGGCCTGTCTACGGAGGCCTCCAGTGGCCAGAACATCACCCCAAATTGTTAGATGTATGTATCCTCTTCGTTACCATTCGCTCATTGTCCCCTTGTTGGTCAAGCAAAGGCAACCCAAGCAACTTGTGCCCTCCTGGACCTTTCCTTCGTCTCTGCTTTTTCCGCCCCTGCGCCTGCCCCGCCCCACGCCCAACTTGTGGCGAGGATCCCTGTCACTGGGGTCGCCATCGTCTGGTGCAACGCCTGTAGGAGGCACACCAACCGCACGCACCCACAGGCTCCGTATGCCAGAGGGGGAACAGGTATCCATACATCTGCACTTCCCTGGTCTTCCCCTTTTGGGCGTCTCCCGGGAGGCCCTCGTCGCCACCGCTGGATTCGCGTCGAAGTCCTGGTCGGATCGCACCCTGGGAGATGCCCCGTTATGGACTCTCTGCCACACAGCCGCCCAGCAGCAGTTAACAGTTGTGGGTTTGCGCAGGAGCGGGACTGACTGCCTCGGCCGATGGGAAGGACCACACATTGTTCATTTCTAATTCTTCGGAAGTTGTTTGATTTTGGGGGGGCCACGATCCTTTCATTTCTGATTGTTCTATCCTGGGGCTCTTCCTGGCACTAGGGGGCCAGGACCAATTAGAAACGAGAACAATTAGAAATGAGCACGATTAGACATGAACGACGTGTATCTCTGCCAGCTGAAGTGCCAACGTCCAGACGGCTGTGGGCTTGAGGCTCCTCCCTGGGTGACCTGTTCGAACCCGTATGTTTGTCGTTGTTCGACCGCTCTCCAGTTTCTTTGGTTTGTTTTGCCGAACCCCCCGCGTGGTGGTCCCAGTGGCATCTTTCGGTCTCCGCTTGTCACTGGCTATGATGTCCGAGTCAAGCAGCAGCAACATCGTGAGGTCGTGAGGCATGGAAGGAAGCATGGGAATGCTGATAGGACGATGTCCCACTCCGAGGGAAGGGGAGGAGGAGGAGGAGAAGGAGGAGGAGGAGGAGGAGGAGGAGGAGGAGGAGGAGGAGGCGGAGCAGGAGTTGGAGAAGGAGGAGCAGCAGGTTGATGGTCTACGGCGGAGCAGCCTCGAGCGCCCAGCAGCGTGGACCGACGGAGGCTCGGTGCGCGACGTGCGAGGGGACGGAAGGCACGGATCGAACTCCGAGAGAGTCCCGCGAGGAGCCCCCTCCGAGGAGCGCGCGGTCCGCCTTTCCCCCCTTCCATGTTCGGCGCTGGGTTCCCATGGAGGAGGAGGAGGAGGAGGAGGAGGAGGAGGAGGAGGAGGAGGAGGAGGAGGAGGAGGAGGAGGAGGAGGAGTCAGTGCCCGTCCTCCCCTCTCCTTTTTTCGCCTCTTCCCCCCTTCACATGCCCTCGTTGGCTCTCGGCCTCCTCGAAGGGGGCACCCCCGACGTCAAGGGGCGCTGGGCCAGGCAGCGGCCAGGCCCCCCTCAGGAGCGCGAGGAGGAGGGGTCCTAAGGAGGCTGTCGGATCGTTTTGTTCACCCGGCTTTAGAGGCCGCTCCACAACAACAAGAACAACAACAACAACAACAACAACAACAACAACAACAACAACAGCAACAGCAACAGCAACAGCAACAGCAACAGCAACAGCAACAACAACCCCTTCATGCCCTCTCCCTCCCTCCTCCCTCGTCCCTTTCCTTCCCACGGAGGGCCCAGGCACAGGATTCAGGGAGCCCTCACGGGGCCTGCCTGCAGGCGGCTGCACAGAACAATCGAAGCACCCTGCGGCACATCCAGGAACCCAAGCCTTCTTTTCCCTTACTGGCGAGCCAGCGAGCGCTAACGACCACAGACGATCCACGACCCCAGGCGACGAACGGCCCACTGCGACGACCCACGACGACGACGACGACGACGACGACGACGACGACGACGACGACGACGACGACGAGGACGACGAGGACGACGACGACGACGACGACGAGGACGACGAGGACGACGACGACGACGACGACGACGACGACGACGACGACGACGACGACGACGACGACGACGGCGACACCGCACGACCTGCCGCGACGCGCCCACCCGGAGGCCCAGCCCGTGGTTGGCCGCCTGGAGAACCTGCAGAGCCAGGTGACGCTGCTGTCGAGCAAGCAGGCCCGCCCTCCTCTGTGCCCAGAGACCTAGAGGAGGAGGAGGAGGAGGAGGAGGAGGAGGAGGAGGAGGAGGAGGAGGAGGAGGAGGAGGAGGAGGAGGAGGAGGAAGGAGGAGGAGGAGGAGGAGGAGGAGGAGGAGGAGGAGGAGGAGGAGGAGGAGGAGGAGAGGAGGAGGGAGGAGGAGGAGGAGGAGGAGGAGGAGGAGGGAGGGGAGGAGAGGGGGAGGGAGGGGAGGAGGAGGAGGAGGAGGAGGGAGGAGGAGGAGGGGTGGGTTGGGGATGGGGTTCCCGCTGCATGTGCCCCTACAGTCGGGCCGCTGAAGAAGGAACCCTTTTCGTTGGGGAGGGGCTGGGTGCTCCTTGATTGTTCCACACCTTGCCACAGATTTCTCCTAAGTCTTCGACGGGAAGTCGAAGTTTCACTTATGGAAGAAAAGGGGCCTCGTTCCTTATTTAGGGTTCCTTAGGTCAGCGCCTCGACTGTGTGGCGGTCTGGGGGGGGTGCCCCCCGAGATCTGGCCCCAGCCACGGGCGGAACGCCGGCGGAAGTCCGGCCGAGAATCTCCTCCTCCTCCTCCTCCTCCTCCTCCTCCTCCTCCTCCTCCTCATCCTCCTCATCCTCGGCCGCAATTGTGGTAGACGCGCTTCCGGGCGGCACAGGCAGCCCCACGCTGGTCCGTAAGATGGTCCCAAGAGGGCCACGAGTCGCCGAGTGATCGGACCAGACTCCTTAGTGGGCCCTGGAAACGACAGGGCCGTTTTTTTACCGGTTCCGTTCTGCCGTTTGTTTGCCAGTTGCGACGCCGTTGTTTTACCGGTTCCGTCGCCGTTTTTTGACCGGTTCCGGCTCCGGTTCCAATCCTGGAGCCGTTTTTTCGCCGTTTCCGGTCGCCGTTTTTTTTTACCGTTCCTTTCAAGGGGTATTTTTTTTTTGGAAACGGTGAAAAAACTGCCCTGCCGTTTCCGGGGCCCACAAAGGCCCAGACAGGCCCCCAGATGCCCTGGGAGGCTTCCAGAGGGGTTTCAAGAGGGCTCCGAGAGGCACAAACTAGTGATGTCCCATGTGTTTTCGAAGATTCTTCGCGTGTTCGCCTTATCGGCCTACCGACGCTCCAAGACGGCCCAAGCGGCCCCAAAGATTACACCAAAACGGCTTAAGAGGCCCCCAAGAGAGCGCCCAGACTGTCCAAGACGCCCAACAGACGGCCCAAGAAGCCTCCAAGGCGGCATAAGAAGGCCCCAGGAACGCTCCAAGAGGGGCCCCAGAGGGGAGGCAGGGCCCGACATTGTGGGCTCTCCGCCTAAACAACACCCTTAGGCCCCCAAGAGGCCCAAGAGGTCTCCAGGGAGCCCCCAAGAGTGCCCCAGGATTGCTTCAGAGGGCCCCGAGGTGGCGGGAGACGCCCCAGGGCCCGAAGACTGCCCAACAGGGCTCCAAAATGGTTGGAGACGCCCCGACAAAGTGGCACAGCGTCAAACGGAACCGACATAATGCGCCTTAAAGCGGTGCAGCGTCAAATGGACAACATTGGAATCAGCGTTATGCGCCAGTTAGGTATCCTCTTCTTTGTTTGTCTCTTCTTCGCAAGTCACGCCCACTTGTCCTCCAAGGTCGGGGTTCGTGGCAACATCCGGCTTTCATACCCAAACACTCGCGCGAGTGTCTCGCGCAGGGGCATTCAGCGGGTGGGTGACTCTGGGCGCATTGCGCGGGGCTCCTGTCCCAATGCAGGAGAAGGAGGAGGGCGCAGAGTAGGCTTAAGTCGGGCGTGTCCCTCTACAGGAAGAGTATTCAGAAATGGTTTGAAACTATCCTGGGGACGATGTTTGGACTGTGTTTTGTTTTTCTGATGATTTGTTTTGGCTATGTTTTGTTTTTCGTCCAGAATCGGCCACTAGGGGGACAGGCCCGACCCAAGAGTAGGCACGCTCGACTGAGAACGGCCACTCGCGCAAGACCCCCTCGTTCGAGGGTGGACAGACCTCCTACCCTGACACGTCGATTCAGGAATTTGCCGTTTTCGGTTCGCGAGAGGGCGTCGCGGCCGTCATCTTTGCGGGTTCAGGTCCGTCGGTTTCGGTCCCATGCCGTTTTCACTAGAGCGTCGGGGCAGAGCAGGGAGAGTCGAGCATCAAGTCGGGCCTCTCCCTCTGCAGGAGGCAAAGTCCCACAATTAGTCAAACAATAGTCTGGGGGCGATTTGTTTTGTATGTTTTGATCACGTTTGCGCATTTCTGTTTTTGTTTCTTGCCGTTCGCCCAGAATCCCCCTATAGGAGGACCTGCCCGGCCTGAGTCCATCATCGAGGAGGCTCTGGGCGATGTGTTGGTCGTCTCTGGGAGCCCTCGGGGGGGGGGGTCGCAGAGACTCCAGCTCCTCCTGGAGCCCGAGGATCCGGGAGAGCAGGCAGGACCGGGCATCGAGGAGGCTCGGGGCGACTTCTGGCCGTCTCTCCGTATGGCTTCCCATCGCAATCGGATGGCTTTGCGATGGAAGAGGCTTGGTTGTCGTATGGTATTCGTATGGTCTTCCCATGGTAGCCGTATGGTTTTCCTCTGGTAATCGCTTGGTTTTCTCAATGGTCGCCGTAAAGTTTTTGTCCATGGCACTCGTATGGCTTTCCCATAGTAATCGTAGGGGCGGTGGCTGGGGGTCCAAAGGGGGCATGTTCCCCCGAGGTGGCGGTGACGCCCTTAGCGGTGGCCCACCTCGATCTCACCGGTGTCGTTGATTTCGTTGGCGATTTCGTCGATGTCGCAACCGGCAGCTGTTCCTCGACTTCGTCATTCGGGGGCCGCTCTGGCATCCTCGCGCCGAAAGCATTGAACGGGCGAAGAACGGAAACACATAATCTGTTTCGTCGTTTGGGACGCCTGTCCCAGGGCGGCTGGAAGGTTTATACCTCTACGGTGGCACGTCAGGGCACAAACTCTCCAGCCGCCTTGGGACAGGCGCCCCCCCAGTGACGAACAAGTTTATCTTATACCGTTCTCCGCCCGCTAAAATTAGCCGTGCGAAGGACCCAACCATATGCACTTGTGAACCACGCAAAATTGTGAGCACCGTCTTCGATGGAGCTCCCCATGGGGCCACGAAGCGCGTGTGGGGTGTGCCGAAATTTGTGGCGGGGACGCATGCAAACACCGCCATTGGGGCCTTCGGTGGAGCTCCCTATGGGGCCACGAACCGTGTGAGGGGTGTGCCAAAATGGGCGTCGGGCGCATGCGGACCCTGTCGCTGGGGCCTTCGGTGGAGCTCCCTATGGGGCCACGAACAGTGTGAGGGGTGTGCCGAAATGGTGCACATGTGGAGAGCAGAGGCACGATGCTGACGATGGCGATGATCATGATGCTTTCGGTGGAGCATCCAATAGGGCTACGAAGCTTGTGAGAGGTGTGCCGAAGTGGGTGGCGGGGGCGCATGCGAACACTGCCATTAGAGCCTTCGGTGGAGCTCCCTATGGGGCCACGAACCGTGTGAGGGGTGTGCCGAAATGGGGCGTCGGGCGCATGCGGACACCGCCATTGGGGCCTTCGGTGGAGCTCCCTATGGGGCCACGAAGCGTGCGAGGGGTGTGTCAAAATGGGCGTCGGGCGCATGCGGATCTTGCCACTGGGGGCTTCGGTGGAGCTCCCCATGGGGCCACGAAGCGCGTGAGGGGTGTGCCGAAATTTGCGGCGGGGACGCATCCAAACACCGCCATTGGGGCCTTCGGTGGAGCTCCCTATGGGGCCACGAACCGTGTGAGGGGTGTGCCGAAATGGGCGTCGGGCGCATGCGGACCTTGTCGCTGGGGCCTTCGGTGGAGCTCCCTATGGGGCCACGAACAGTGTGAGGGGTGTGCCGAAATGGTGCACATGTGGAGAGCAGAGGCACGATGCTGACGATGGCGATGATCATGATGCTTTCGGTGGAGCACCCTAATAGGGCTACGAAGCTTGTGAGAGGTGTGCCGAAGTGGGTGGCGGGGGCGCATGCGAACACTGCCATTAGAGCCTTCGGTGGAGCTCCCTATGGGGCCACGAACCGTGTGAGGGGTGTGCCGAAATGGGGCGTCGGGCGCATGCGGACACCGCCATTGGGGCCTTCGGTGGAGCTCCCTATGGGCCACGAAGCGTGCGAGGGGTGTGTCAAAATGGGCGTCGGGCGCATGCGGATCTTGCCACTGGGGCCTTCTGTGAAGCTCCCCATGGGGCCACGAAGCGCGTGAGGGGTGTGCCGAAATTTGCAGCGGGGACGCATGCAAACACCGCCATTGGGGCCTTCGGTGGAGCTCCCTATGGGGCCACGAACCGTGTGAGGGGTGTGCCGAAATGGGCGTCGGGCGCATGCGGACCCTGTCGCTGGGGCCTTCGGTGGAGCTCCCTATGGGGCCACGAAGCGTGCGAGGAGTGTGTCAAAATGGACGTCGGGCGCATGCGGATCTTGCCACTGGGGGCTTCGGTGGAGCTCCCCATGGGGCCACGAAGCGCGTGAGGGGTGTGCCGAAATTTGCGGCGGGGACGCATGCAAACACCGCCATTGGGGCCTTCGGTGGAGCACCCTATAGGGCCACGAAGCTTGTGAGAGGTGTTCCGAAGTGGGTGGCGGGGGCGCATGCGAACACCGCCATTAGAGCCTTCGGTGGAGCTCCCCATGGGGCCACGAACCGTGTGAGGGGTGTGCCGAAATGGGGCGTCGGGCGCATGCGGACACCGCCACTGGGGCCTTCGGTGGAGCTTTCATCGGGGTCACGAGCCGTGTGATGGGTGTGTCACAATGTGCGCTGGGCGCATGCGGATCCTGCCACTGGGGCCTTCGGTGGAGCTCCCTATGGGGCCATGAACCGTGTGATGGATGTGCCGAATTGGGCGTCGGGCGCATGTGGACCCTGCCACTGGGGGGGGGGCACGAACCGTGTGATGGGTGTATCGAAATGGGCGTCGGGCGCATGCGGACCCTGCCACTGGGGCCTGCAGTGGAGCTCCCGATGGTGCCACGAATCGTGTGGGGGTGTGTACC